GTAATTATCATGTACAATGTAACGAGATCCACCCACAGGAATCTTGTTATATTTATATGAATAATTAGGATAAAATATCGAGTTGTATTTCTTAATCTACCCACATGAATTGAGAAAATGATGCAATTTGATAGTTTTATTGTAAATTTTTTGATGAAATCTAATTGAGTAAAACTTTAGCCCACAGACAAGTTTTATGTCTCTAAATTCATGTTTTAACATGTTTACATTGGTAGAACATGTAATTTACTTGTCTCATTTATTGATAAACATGTATATTTAATTTTGGAGCGTTTAATCCTATGAATTTCTCTGACATTAAGTGTGATGTCCCCGAATTGACTGGTGATAATTACGAAATCTGGAAGGAAAGGATCCTCCTTCATTTAGGCTGAATGGACATTGATTATGCCAGTCATTCAATTCTCCACCATGAGATTCACGGGTATGAGAGGTGTGCGCGAGCACATAATGCGGATGCGGGACATTATCCTACAATACACATAAAGATAAATGGTCTATCAATGAATTGATGACCATATGTGTTCAAGAGGATGAAAAAATTATTGATGGATGAATGTGAGAAAATTTAGTCTGTAAGCTTAATAAATCCATATATGGATTGAAGCAAGCCTCCCCAATGGTATTTGAAATTTCATGACGTTATCTCTTCATTCGGTTTTGAAGAAAACGTCATAGATCACTGTATATACCAGAAGGTTAGTGGGAGTCGTATTTGCTTTCTTGAGTTGTACGTGGATGATATTTTGCTTGCAACTAATGATAAAGGAATGTTATATGAGGTACCTCCAAGGTACGAAGGATTTCATGCTCATATATAGACAAACTGATGTCTTGGAAGTGATTGGCTACTTCGATTCGGACTACGCTGGCTGCATTGACACTCGGAAATCCACATCGGATTTTGTGTTCATGTTGGCTGGTGGAGTTATCTCTTGGAGAAGTGCAAAGCAGTCTATCACTGCTACTTCCATTATAGAGACTGAGTTTGTTTCATATTTCGAGACTAGCTCGCATGGTGTATGGTTGAAGAGTTTTATATCCGAGCTTAGAGTCGTTGACTCTATTTCTAGACCGATCAAGTTGTACTGTGACAACTCTGCTACAGTGTTTATGGTTAAAAGCAATAAGAGTGGGAGTCGAAGTAAACATATCGACATCAAGTATTTAACCTTAAGATAGCGTGTTAAGGAAAATAAAGTGTTCATTGAACACGTTAATATAGAGTTGATGCTTATGATCCATTGACTAAAGGCATGCCACTAAAGAATTTGAGGGATCACGTAGCAAGTATGGGACTTGATTCTACAATGTAGTTTATTTGCGCACATTGTTATTTGAGACTCTTATTCAGTTTGATGTTTTCTCGCTTTATTATGCACATATTTGTTTATTATTGAGAAAACTCGCTTAAGCTTAACCCGGAATAAATATAAGATTTATTCATTAAGTTGTGAATTTAGTTTGAGATGCTTGACATATTGTAATACATGGAAGATAACATTCGTTTATAAAAGACCTACCGCCATGATTCGTATGTAAGGTTTCTCGTTATATTGTGATGGTTTGAGTGGGCCAAGTGGGAGAATGTTAATTTAATTAATTAATTAATCATATTTGAATTTTGATTATTTTGAATTATCTTATATAATTAAACTAACCTTAAATTGTGGCCCACTTTTCTCCCATTAAGTCTATCACATTCAAAATATACGTGAGAAGTGGCAGAAAAATCGTGATGGACGGTTTCTCTTTTTTACTATAAATACTCACATATAGGTTACTAAACCTACTCTCAGAAAATTAGAATACACCATCGCTATTTGAGAGCCAGGGTTTGGCAACATCGTCATAGGGTTCCACGATCTGGCACTATCTTCGGAGGTTTCCAAAGTTTGGCAACATCCTCCCAAGGGTTCCAAAGTCTGACAACACCATATTCCCATGGTTCCAATCTACTCTTCTTGAAGAAGAAGATCTCAAGAACAAATCTAATTTTTAGCAATGGTTGGAGGTTTGTTTAAATTTCGCTTTCGCTAACATATTTGATTATATGTTTATTTTCCAACACAAGATGCATAAAGTAGGGTAGGATTTTTATTTTAAATTACGTACAATAAGTATACAATCATTTTTATACCTAATCCGCGAAAAGAACAGACCCTAAATAGAATTTTTAAATAAATATTGATCAATATTTTATTTTATAATTTTTAGGAGATGATATATGATTTTATTATTTTTTTAATAAAGCTAAGAAATAAAAATTGATCAATTGTTTATTTATTTGATTACATGATAAACTATTTTTTTAGTCTTGTATCTGATCTTATTTATTATTTTAGAATTTTAAATAAACTATATCTGAAAATAGTTCCACAAATAAATTTTTTTCGCTAAACGGGGTCTTCGATGCTGAATTTGTCACGTTGATCCACCGTTGCTGACGTATTGATGATGTACCTGACATGTCATCGCCACATCAACAGCATCTCAGCGATATGTAATTTTTGTTTTACTTTTTTTTTAAAAAAAATTAATTTAAAATTTCAATGTTCGTCAACATTGGACCAAATTATAAAATTCAATTTTATATTTTGTAAAATCAAAAATAGATTAAAAAAAATATATATCCCATGTCGCTGATATGGCGATGATACGTCAATCACATTATTGTCACGTTAGAAACGGTGGGCTATCATTGCAAATTTGGCATTGGAGGATCATTTTAGCGAAAAAATTTTATTTGCGGGACTATTTTCAGACAAAGTCTATTTGAAGTCCTAAAATGACAAAGCAAATCAAATACGAGACTAAAAAAATAATTTATCTTTCATTAAAAGAATGTTTTCAAGACATTTTAATAATTTTTTTTTATACTATTTGCATTATTAGACATGTGTTTACCACCAAATCGGCTTTGGATAGAGATTATATTTTGTTCATAGTTTAATATTTAATCAAAGTGAAATTTACAAAATAAATAAAATATAAATATTTTGTACATTTATAAATACAATAGAATATTATACAATTTACCTAAAAGTGTTTAATGGTAAGTTAAGCATTGTGTGAACTTAGACTTATCCACATGTTTGTTTAGTGTTTTAATTTAATATATATATATATATACATATATTTTTTATTTGTAATATAATAAATCGTATTGATAATATATATATATAAAAAAGATTTAATATTAAATACTGACTTTTTATGAGAAATAATAGGTATATATACTCCATTCGTCAAGTCATAAAGTATACAAGTGTTTTTAGCATTATTGTAATTAACATTAAAAATATCATTATATTTGTATAATTTACTTCAAGAATATCATTGCATTTGTATTACAAGAGACTAATAGAAGTATTTTTGTCATTTTTTCTTGATTTATACTACATTTTAATATAATAACTAATATTAAAAGATCAACACAAAAATATAACGATATTTTTTTTTTTTATTTGGACGGAAGTAGTATAATATATTAAAAATTGTATCAGATAAAAAAAAATTGATTAAACAAACAATCCCTAAATTTGCCAATTTCCGTACATACCACAATTGAAGCATAAGTTGTAGACTTGCAATTATCCTTATTTTCTTTGTAAATAGTCCAACATAATTGTACTATTTATTTTTTTAAGTAAATTTAAAAAAAAAAAAAAAAAAAGTGATATAATTATGCTGTACGGATAAAATACATTTTTAGCTAAAAATAATACTATGATCTTTTGCTTCCTCCATCCCATGTAATATGAGTGTATTATTGTAAACACGAGAATTTAGGCAAAATATAATTAGTAAGTAATTAAGAAATGTATTAGTAAAAATGATTATTATTTAGTAAAAATAATTATATATTAAGATTAAAATAAGTAAATAGTTTAATTAAAATTAAGAAAATTATAAAATTTAAAATTTAAAATGCAATTAAAGTGCATAATTATATTTCCAAAAATAGAAATGACAAGTTATGTGGGACAGACGAAAATAGAAAATAGGGACAAATTATGTGGGATAGAGAGAGTATAAAAATATAATACTCCCACCGTCCACTTACAATATTTATATTTACTTTTGGCGCGGTATTTAAAAAATAATAGTATTTTAATTATAATGAGTAGTTAAAAGTAGTGTAATGACATTTTTGCCTTTACTTTTTTTTTGTGTAAAAGCAATGATGTGATGTAAAGTAAGGGTATTTGTGAAAAAAAAGTAGAGTATCTAATAAAATGTTAACTTTGTAATTGGACGTTTTAAAATAGAAATATATAAACATTGTAAGTAGACGGAGGATGTATATTTTTATTAAGAATCGTAAAATTTATTTCATAAAAAATAAATAAATAAATAAACCCATGATTTCTTAAAATTGAGTTTAATTGTGAGTTAGATGAATTGTCCATAACCAATTGTTGTGTGCCTCCATTGACTTACACAATCCTTAAGTACTCAATTGAAAATTCTGAAGTTTAGGTTCTATTTATACAACAATATTTAAAATGTGATGTTATTCAATTTTTTTTTTAAAAAAAATATTTCATTAAATATATTATTACTTTTTAAAAAATGTCATATCAAATATCAATTTTTTTTTTTTTTTTTTTTATCATTTCTAAAATTTCAAAACTTCAAAAGTACATACAAGAAAATATAATAAAACACGTCAAGGAATTAAACAACATTTTTGTATTGCAAAACTAACATTGTAAAATCTTATAGTACAAATTAATGTCCAGCTAAATTAATTACATTGTAAAAAAATAAAAAAAGAAATAACAATAGATTTAAATTTAATTTAAATGAAAAAAAAATCCTAAAAGAATTCAAAGGAATAAAATCAAAATATGTACGAATGTCAATAAAAATATATATATATATATATATTAGTACAAAAGAAATGAGCGGAAATAAGTTTCTGTTATCAGTTAGTTCGAGAGAGGTTAATAAATGAATGAATTTAATTTAATTAATTAAACCTTGTGAATTAATAATGGCGTCAATGGCGGACGACGGGGGCCCGTTTCTGCTTCTTGCGGGCTTCTTGCAAGCCCGAACTTGCTGTTCTCGTCGTCCGGCGCCGGGAGATTGAGATCCAACGGCGCCCCTTTTCTGGGACGCTTCGAATCGTCGCCGTCGAGCTCTTCAATGGAGGCGTCGCCGGCGGTGATCGGAAAATTGGCGGGCCGGGCCGTGACAGGGCCGGGCCGGTGCTTTCTCATGTGGCCGCCGAGGGCCTGGCCGGAGGTGAACTCGGCGCCGCAGTACGAGCACTCGTGCATTCTCGGCGACGGAGCTACGGCGGCGGCGGCGGCGGTGGTGGTGGTGCCAAGGTGGAGGGAGAGAGGATCGGGGATGAATTTGGGCACCGCCGGCGCCGGAAAATCGTCGTCGTCGGAGAATACGGCGGCGGTTGATTTCCGATCGATTTTAACCTTTCTGTGGCTGGTCCGGTGGCCGCCGAGGGCCTGAAACGACGAGAACGTCCGGCTACACGTTTTGCACGTGTAGACGGCGCCGCCGCCGCCGGCGGTCCTCTTCGGCGGCGGAGCGCTATCGACGGGCTTCGAAAAAAACGGTCCTTGAGATAATAGGAGGAGACATTTGGCGGTTTCGAATTCCTCCGACGTGGTGGAGGCCTCAGCCTCCGCCTCCGCCTCCGGCGACGACGGCGGCGGAGAGAGGCGGAGGAATTCGCCGGCTGGGTGGTTGCCGGAGGGAATCGGCGAATGCGGCCGGAGTCGCCTGGTGCGTTTTCCCTTGGCAACGGCGGCCGGAGAATGATCGGCGGGAATTTCGAGCAGCGGCGCTGCCGCGGCGTTGTCCATATTCGTCGTCGGCCGCGGCCGGCGCCACCGTGTTGGCGGAGGGAGATAAACGGGGCTGAGTTGTAGAGAGAGATAAAGAGAGGAGAGAGAGAGAGAGGAGGAGAGACAAAGTAGGGTGGAGAGTGAGAACAAAATGGATTGGTGATTATATATATATACGTATGCATATAGATACAGAAATGTGTATGTATATATGTACGGAAGGGGAGGTTTTGCAAGTCAATTTACAGCGTTATTAGTCTTATTAATTATTTAATTTTAGTATAATTTTGTAATATTTTCGTGTCCTAATATTATTGCAATATTTGATATTACGGTAGATTTTCGGGATTTTTGTACGTTTACGAGCGTTTACCGTAAATTAATAAGAATAAATATTATCCATATCTCGATATGCTTTCAATTAGATTTCTCGCTAAAATTGTATTATCATTTTTGCGTTGAAAAAGTTACAAATATATCATAATAATATGAATAATCCGAGTATATGAATGTCGTCAATATGTCGATATTAATTTTCTCAATTAGATTTTATGCATTTTTTGTTTTAGATTTTTATGGAAAAATGCATTTGTGTAAAATAAATTAGATTATTATTATTTTTTTTACAAAGTTACTAAATTATTTATTATAATGGTGAGAAGAAACTAAAAATGAATAAAATTAGCCCATTAATCAAATAATTTAGGAATAATTATGATGACTTTGTGTGATGTGTGATGGATTGATAGTTTAAATAATTTCAATGTTCAATCAATTAGATTCAACTATGTTAGTTAAATTAACTACCTTAATCTAGTTTATGATAATTAAATTAAAATTAATATAATTTAATACTATACTAACAATATTCTAAATATAAATGAACAAACACATGAAATATAAAATGAAAAATAAAAAATAAATACAAAGATTTATATTAAGATAATGCAAATATCATATATGAAATAATACTGAATAAAATATATATTATCATTGATCTTGACACACAAAATATATGTTTCGTATACTATACATATAAATATAAATTATCAACATATCATAATAATATACATAACACATATTGTAATAATTGAAATTATAGTCATATTTTATATACTGATTATGATTAATCAATATGATGTTGATTAATTCACGGATAAAAATTAAATACTCCTATAAAATAAGTCTATCATATGACATAAATAAATACTCCCTCCGTCCTACATACCATCTCAATGTTGCCGTTTCTGTCCGGCTCATATTCCATGTCACTTTCATTTTTTGGAAAATGATTACACACTTTAATCTCATTTTAAACTTTTTAATTTTTTTTTAAAATTTTAATTAAACTAAATAATTATCTTAATCTTAATTTATAATTATTTATATTATAGGATAATTATTTTCACTAATATATTCTTAATTATCTACTAATTACACTCCTTATAAAATACCGTGTCTACAGTATAGCAAATACGGTATGTGGGACGAAAGGAGTATTAAATATGATATTTTATATATATAACATATTTTTGAAACAATACTTTGAATATATTCCAAAATGATATTTATATATATATATATATAAAATATTCTTTTTTAATTAGCTAAGGACATGTTTGTATCATTTTTTAAATTATGGAAGTAATTAAACTAATGTAGTTTCTTCCACTCATTCATATATTCCAATAATGAGTTGTTACTTTTCTAAACAATTATTATCTCAATAGTGAAATAAGTTTAAGTTCAACTTATTAAGTAAGAAGATTTTCATCCTAATTCATACATTTACTTCAAATATAAAAGTAGCTAAGGACATTGAAATTGGAGAATGCGATACTTAGAAAATGAATTCAACTAACATTGAATTCTATGCAATTTTAAATTTACAAAAAAAGAAATTTGTAAATACAAATAAAAATAAAATAATAATTTGATGAAAAAAAAAAAATCAGTACCACGAAGAAATTGATATTTAAAATTTTGACTACATAATAAAGTAATAGAAATTTTAGTTAACTATACCACTGTTGACAAGTATAGGAACCAAAAGTAAAATAAATAAATAAAATTGATATAATGAAAAATAATAAGAATTTTGAGCCAAAATCAGTTGATAAATATCGGTAAAGAGAAAGTTTGTTAAAATAGAAAAGTATGATCCAATCCAAATTGAACTCACTTTAAAAATGAAAAATTTAGGACTTCATAGTCCAAACACCTGAAAACGTAAAATACATTATAAATGAGTTTGTGACAAAAAAATAATAATAAACAAAAATATTACAAGATATTAGGTAAGACTTGTAATCTTTTTTTTTTATTATTATTTTTATAGAGATTGAGTAATAATTTAGGATAAACATATTCATCGGTCATAGATGAAATAATATTTAGATATCTTGTGAGCTTGTCAGTACATTAAAATCTTTATATACGACTAATGGATGTAATTACAGCGTACTTTTATGTCTCATTAGACAATGATATCTATATGAAAATTACAAAAGAGTTTTTAATATGTTCAAGTCATCTAAGTCAAAGCCAATAAAATTATATTACATTAAATTGAAAAATATTTCGTATGGATTCAAGCAACCAAACCAAATGTGATATAATTGTCGCAGCGGAAGCTTAACAAAAAATTTAAAAGTTATGTAAATGACTCTATTTGTTCATACATTTTCATAAGAAAAAATATGTTGAAATTTATAATTATCGTAGTATATTTTGATGATATCTATTTACTTAGACCTTTAAAGAGCTATAAAAAGTTGTTAAACATCTTTTAAAAAAAATAAAAATAAAACATAAAAATTGAGATTGAAGATTTTAAAAAAAATTAAAATTTGTCTTGATTAGCAAACTAAACATTGAAAAGTGAAATATTTATATACCAAACAAATTGTACGAAAAAGAGTATTAAAATAATTCCTACTGGACAAATGACATTCTCTAAATACCCAAATCATCATTAGAGCCATCGATTCAAATAAAGATCCATTTGGATCAAAATGAGAAAATGAAAATGTACTTGTCAAAAATGTCATATCTCATTGCTATAGATATAGTAATGTATCTTGTCAATAACACTATTGTTTGATATATCATTATAGTAATATATCTTGTCAATAACACTATTCTTTGATATATCATTTGTTGTAATTTTATTTCTAAGAGTTAATTCATCACCTATTCGAAGATTGGAATGATATCAACGACATTTTATTATTTTCAAGGAATAATTGACCTCAAACTATTTTACTTCAAAGATTTCTAAGATGAATTAATTGGCTTTGTCGATGTAGAATATTTATCAGATCCACATAAAGTCAAACATAAAATATGCTCTATTTACATGTGGAGAAATTCTAGTTTCTTGGATATTAATAAAACAAACACTAACGACCACTTTTTCAAATAACGATGAAACATTACCAATTAATTAAGCTATAGGAAGTAATATATTTGATTGAGATTAATGATTCACTATTTTTTTTTTTTAAAATATGGGTTAATGTTTTAAGAAAAATTTCTCCTGACTACGTACATTTTATGAAGACAATATTACTATTAAATATACTATATCAAATGAGATCATAAAACAAATATATTCACCATTTTTCACCATTTTTGGGTATAAAATTTATAATAAGGTTCTTAATATAAAAAAATCTTTATAATAGTGCACACGCATGTCACAAAGCTGCAAAATAAAGTATCAGTTCCTACGCCACAAAAAAATTTGTACAATGCAATAGTTGGTGAGTAGGGTCGTCTCCGCAAGGAATAGTAACAATATTGAATATTCAGTTAATTATAATTATACTATATATATAATGGGAAGGGGGGTTTTGATTTATCACACTAAATTAGGAGAAAATAAATTCGCTCAACTAAATAAAATAAAATAAAATACAAGGCGGGTTACCAAAGATTATTAAACTCTAGTATAGGCATGAATTTTCTGTTTGGAATATAAATTTTGTTCATCGACTAAAAATCAAGTTCATTGACTAGTTGGATAAATTGATTATAGTCGATCTACACGCGTTCACAACCAACCTTTCATAACTTTTTCGATAGCTAAGGTATGACCGTTAGCTATTTTCCTAATCGAGTGAGAATTTTTGATACTATCGTAGTTTTACTGACTCGACAACTTTAAGTACTAGAAAAGCCCAATTCAATTTAACAAAATTCCTATACAGATTTGTTTAAAATTGATTCTCATTCTTCCTAGAGTATTCCTCTGGGTTGCTACACCAATTTGAAAATTACACAATTACGGGTGTCAATCTCTAATTTAGCTACGAAATCTCAAATCAATACATGCGCAATAATCAATTTAAGATTTCTAAACTTATAAATTAGAAAAATTAGAAATATCCAATATCGATGAACACCAAATTAAACAAAATCAAGTCTCACAAATTCAATCCCAAACAACAATTCACACTTACGCTAGAAATAAAATTACTCGGAATTCATAGAAATTAAAAACACAAAACAAATAAAGAAGTTCATCATGCCTTCAATTTTGAAATCGACAAAGAAGAACAATATGAAGATAGAAGAAGAACGCCCTGAAAAGTCGTCTGCAATCCTCCTCCAAGTTCTCCTCTCTTCCGTGCTCTTCTTCTCCCTTCTCTCATTTAAGAAAAATGATGTCGTGGTAGAACGTGGTACTCCCTTTCTCTTCCCTTCTTCAATTGCAAATAGTGTCCATTTTAAATAGATCCGCTTTTTTTTTTTTTTTTTGAAAATAATAAATAGATCCACTTTATTAAATCATCACATAATCTTTATATTTCCAGTTTACCTCGGAGGGTCTTTTTGTAAATTTTCATATTTTCTACATTGTACTTGCTTGATCACGTCTAAAGCCTTTGCACGTTCTGTTCATTATCTCCCAAATACACTCCAAAATATGTCAACTACATGAAACCTATTACGTAATAAAAAACACACCATGAGTAGCACATATACAAACAAAAGTCGCTCAAAACATAATAAAA